TTCCCTACCTATGACTAATACAAAGTTGCATGTAGCTTAGGAATTGCTCTGTAATGAGGACGCACTCACTTTAATTATGCAGCTCAACAGAGCTATCTCAAAATTGCATGGCTTTACTGCATCACTGGCTTGTAGCGACGCCAGTCAGATGCAGACAGGCAGACTTCTTAACCTTCTGGCTAAGAAGATTAAATGCTTAACAGAGTGATCTCTCCCCCTTCGCCCTCCTATTCCTCCATCTTTTAAAAGAAGTAACAAAAGAGGCTTTAACAATCCACCTAAAAGGGAAATTTTGTTTTCTAGTATTTCTAATGTAATAAATAGGCTGGACCTCCAATGATAGAGAAACAAGTATCACCTTACAAAGCTGACAAAACGTGAGTAGGTAAACAAGATCCTCCCATACCTTCATAAACATCAGGGCAAAGGACCAAATGTTCCTTGTGTGCAAGTTTCCCTTATCGAACAGCTGTAAGGAATTCTTATGGTACGCACAAAAAAAAAAAAAAGATTGTATTAATCAGATGCCTGTGAGAGCGTATAACCACCACCACTTGGAAAAATAAGCAAGGTCATTCAGTCAAAAGATTCTGTCTAGGATCAACTGCTTTATATGGCTTTGCTACCGAATATAGAAACATTACCCCGTATACAAAGGCACTATTTTTAAAGACTGTGCTTTTGGGGGAGAAATAGAATTCTTTTTACCTCCTAAAAGATCTTTTCAAATGTGTGTTATAAAGATCCAAGGAACGTCAGACAGGAAAAGGATGAACCAACCACATTCTGGACTCAACTATATATGGCTTAACTCCACTAACTTCAGTGGTTTAGAGAAATCAGTGCAGAACTTTATTTAAAAAAAAAAAAAACAAAACCAAAAAAACCCACCTTCTTTCATCTCAGAATTCCAGGAGTATTTAGTAACTCTGGTTAAGCTATTCACCATATGTAATTCCCTATGTAAAATTTAAAAGACAATTAAGAGATACTGTTCTAAAATAAGCCATGTCTACAGCAAAGCAGGCGATTCTTTTAGAAACTATGAGCAAACATCTGATTAAGATGACAAGCCACATGGAAACTACTTCCAGAATCAGACCTAAAGGGCACTGTTACCAACCAAATTTGGCAGACAAGAAATCATGACGAACTGCAAAGGCATGCAGCAGTGCAATAAAAAGTTGGGAATCATCAGCAAAGACGACGGCAAGCACTTGTGTTAATGCAGCGAGGGCAAGAACATAAACAGGACAAATTCTCAGCATTAAACACTGGATTCAGAGGAATGGCACTGTGCCATAGTGGGAGTGGAGCTGGCTCTTCCATTTACAGACCGCTTGCCATAAACAAGCCATATCAGTATGACAAAGGTATCTGCCTACTGCAGATATCTCATTCTGACATCTATCTTTTGAGAGAGCAAAGTTTCAGAACCATTTTGATAGTAACAATAGGAAGCTTAGAACTAAAAGCATGACATATATAATGTAAGGCTCTCTACTTTCCTAAAAGCTGTGTTTAAGGCCAGAACTCTTACAGAGATCTGACGTTTATCGCTGGGTAACAGTAGGCATCTAGCCTTACCTGTAGATACCCATCGTTAGATTTGGCATTTTTAATAAACAGTTATCCCTATTTAAGATCACGGCGCCTTCAGACAGTCTTTATGCTGAGGGGACGATGACTGGAATTTCAGCTCGAGCGGAAAAGCCAGCATTTACAGCAGGTTTGTCAAATATTACAGGAAGCCTAACTGAGTCTCATTTCTATTTCCAGGAATACGAAGACGCACTAAGTACAGCTACATTAACTTGGAGAGGGGACAGTAAGAAATGAATTATACTTTGTTCTTCGCATCGGCTACGTTTGTCAGTAGCGTAACACAAAACCAACCCATCAAGCGAGCACACTGCGCTCCCTTCCAGAAAAGCGACCAAATTCTGAAAGCCTACGTGAAGTTTAAGCTCCTTTTTTGACCAACAAAGCACAATTTACCGAGTGGGCGACCGCAGCGGAGCCGACCTGATCACGCACCCCGGATAAGCGCTGCCTCACCACGGCTGCTCTTTCTGCTGTACCTCCCAGAAACTATTTACCTCGTCTCCGAGCCCGAAGCGGCGGCTGCACCCAAGGACACCCGGAGCCCGGAGTCCCCGCGCTTCGGCCGCTGCGGCGG